GCTCGAGTGAGCCTGTGAGTGGGACTAGCGGGGGGTGCTGCAGGACAGATGGGCAGGGGAAGCTGCACAGCGGCTGACTACACCAGCCAGCTCAGTTGGCCCCTCACTTTCACCAGCGATATGTGCCACCCCCGACGCTGTCCAGGCTTGTCTTAACAGCATTCAAATTGGAATCCGCGATCTGCTCAGATTCTCCTCTTGAATGAGCCCAAACCGGCTGGAGTGGCAGATTCCCTCCCACGGTCAGAGCTGGGCTGGTTCTGCAGAACATGTACACGGGTCTGCACCAAAGTGAATTTGCATCGGTCTCACCCATACCCACTTTGGACCACATTCTCTGCTGGAGCAAATGGCCCCAACTCCATTGACATCACTAGTTCTATCCACTGCCCGTGGTAGGTGCTTTGTTTCCACTGTCCATGAACATTCGTGCAATTGGCTTTCACTGGCACAAATGTTCCAGGGCAGCTCAAAGTTGCACACACAAACGACGAGGCACAGGGTAAGCCAGGAGTGAGACCTCTGAAAATGGGCGCTTCGGGCTAAAAGACAAAAGGTCTGACAAAAATCCAACAGCTGGGAGTTGAAGCTAGAGAAATTCAGACTGGAAATAAGGTGCAAAGTTGAAAGACTGAGGGTAATTGATCACTGGAACAACATACCAATGGCTGGGGTGGAGTCTCCAGCACTGGAAATTTTCAATCACGATTGGATGTATTTTCTAAAAGATATGCTGGGGTTCAAACAGCAATTAATTCAGGGACGTTCTGTGTAGGAGGTCAGACTAGATGATCAGAGTGGTCCCTTTTGGATTTATAATCTATGTGGTTGCACACTCAGCCAATCAGGGAACAGAAACAATACCATGTGACTTCCCTGACCACTTACAACCTACCAATGTAGCTCAAAAAGTGAATATCTGCAAAGAGTCATAGTTCGTGAGCCATCCACAGAGTTAACAAAATTTGTGTATGTGGGGGCGGCGGGGGGAATCACTGAATATTTCCAAATAGGGAAGACAAATGGGATCTGGCATTCTGTTTGTTCTAGTAGTAGGGTAAGAGGAGAACTTCACTGGATACACTTTTCACTCAGCTCCAAATGGTAAGTTGTGCAAACTTTGAGGCACTGCATCATCCTTTTGCTCTTGTAGCTATTTCTCTTTATGTGTAGGCTCCTTTTCCTTTTAGGGGTAGATTTTCAGAATTGCTTAGAGGGATTTAGGAGCACAAATCCCACTGGAAATCCATGGGATTTGCTCCTAAATCCCCGGGCACTTTGAAAATCTTGCTCTCTATTTTTTAATCTAATACCTTCCCAACATACACAAATTCTACACTCCTTGTTCATCCTCAGACCTAAGCATGTGATTCCCTCTTGTCGGAGGGTTCAGGAGAACGCTCGCACACTCGCAAGGCTGGGCTGGTTAGAGTAATTCAAATACCCCCCCCCCCCATGTCACCAGGGGCCTACCCAGCTATTATCCACTGTAAAGCACAAAACAAGTCCACCCTGTGAAAAGTTTTATCCAAATGTCAGACCGCAGAGAGAGGCAAAGGTGCTGGAACAGTTTGTACAGTGGGGGGGCTGAGAGCCATTGAACCAAACTGTAAACCCTGCATATGATGGAAACCACTTCAAGTCAGGGGGTGCTGCTGCCCCCTAGTTCCAGCCCCTATGGAGAGAGGCTGATGTCCCCTGAGTATAGTTCACTGGCTTCATGCACTTCCATGAGAGAGCAGGAATGCCAACCCAGGCACCCCGTACTGCGCATCAGAGGCTGGCTGCCAAGCTGTAGACGGCAGGGGGTTGCACTGAACAAATATTTTGTCACATACACTTACTGCTACAGGCATGGGTGATCTACGGGAGCCTCGTTAGCATCGGGGACGATGCAGCCTCCAGAGAAACAGTCAAGAAAGGGAACACCTCCGTTCGAGGTGATGTATGCAGCTTGCCCGGCCCACTTGGCCTCTTTGCGCTCATCAGCTCAGAAACCGGCTGTGGCACTGTAGCCGGGTGGCATCGAGCTGTCCTTGTCCACTGGAGGTGGCTTCCATGTCTTTAACCTGCTCACTAGGCCAACATCCCTCTAGACAGTCCCTGCAGCCACAGATCCCTGCTGTCTTGGGCTGCGAGTGCCAAGGAGGTGTGAGAGCTCCTGGAAGTGCAGACACCTGCTTCTGTCTGCATGAGGCCCTTCCCAAAACTGAATCCCAGCTCTGGGGGCACCACCAGCCCCAGGGACTATTTCCTTCTCTAGGAGCTGCTCCCTCTTTCCCTAAGGAGTGCCTGTAGCTGCTTCCCCTCCATAGGAGCCCATCTGTGGCCCAGGTTAGAGCAGGGGACTGGGCATCAGGACTCTAAGATCCCACTCCTGATTTGGCCACTGACTTGCTGTCAAGTCACGGCACCGTGCCTCAGTTTCCCCACCAGTAAGATTGGGCTAATTACAGAAATGTAGGGCTCGAAGGGATCTCAAGAGGTCATTTAATCCACACACACACACCCCATGCTGAGGCTGAATTAAGTATACCTAGAGTCCTAGACCAACCCACTGCCTGGGGTGTTGTGTGGCTTAGCTAATGGGTGTTCATCACTCACACTGAGATCTTCGGATGCTATGTGCAAAGTATTATAGCCATAGTGATCCTGACTGGAACCTTTGGGGATTACTGCAAGACCAATGCTTCCGCCACCTGAGGACAGATGCTGCTGCAGCCGGCTATGGACAGAGTTGCTCTCACGCACAGACATGGAGTGTTAGATTGCAGGAGGCGGATGTCGTGGCTTCAGCGGCTCTTGGGGACGTTCCCATTGGATTGGCAGCCACTGCAGCATGGCTGCCAGGCCCTGTATTGGACAGATAATGTTTGACGAGTGGGTGGAGGGCGGGGTGGGGGGAACTATCCTGGAATCTTTACCCATGTCTGTGAAGCTGCCGTGCTCTGATGGTCCTGCCCCCTCATGCCCAGAGCTCTGACAGAGATGCTCAGTGATATTCAGGTGCTCGAGTCAATTCCCACAAGGGCTGGCGCATTGTAGGGATTTCTCAGCCATTCACTCTATGATGTCCTGCCCTGTAACACGCCCCCTACCGTGGAGCTGGGGAAGGGCAGAGGGCACATGTAGAACCCAGCTCCGGGGGCAGGGGAGGGAGGTCAGAGAACAAAGACCAGATTTCATTAGCCTCAGGGACATGGCATTTACCTGCCTCTTACAGGGCAAACCAGGACAGCTATTCTGGAGAGGGGGAGATGGTGCACTGGAGATGGTTCTGGTGGCCATCAGGGAGGCTGAGCCAGAGAAGAGGACCGACTTCTTCCTCTCCTCAGTCCAGCAAATGTCCTCCTCAGCCCCCTGTGGATTTGACTCAACATGACGGGAGGAAAACAGGAACATCCTTTGGTTTCAGGGACACCTGGTCCCATGAAGTAGCCAGCAGGGATTTCCGAGTACCTGGGAATGTGAATTGTGCTTTGCCTGTGGCAAATGACAGCCCAAGCAGCCTCCCCCTGGCATCTGCTCCCCCCTGGCTGAAGAGATGCATGGATTAGAAGAGAGCAACTGGAGGTGGAAACCCAACAGCCCTCTACCCCCTGGCTTAGTCCCTGCTTCACTCTCTACCAGACCTCTTGTCCCTGCACAGGGGTACTGCACAGGGGTCTCTGCCAAGGCTTGACTGGCAGTTACCTACTTCCTGTCCTGTCCTAGCCCCTTCACAGCCAATCGCTTCATTTAAGCAGGGCTGGCAGGGGGAATCATGCCCTCTGGCTTGGCCAGAACATCGTGTGCCTGTTACCAGACAGTCAGGACTTTAGGGAGCTGCAGACTCCACTGATCTCCTGAGCACAGACCAGCGCGAAAGGGAAATGCCACTCGGGGGCCCAGCCCAAAGGCCCTTCCCCTGGGGACCCAGGGTTGCTGTGCAGCCGTGGGTGCAGGTGGGATAAGACACCAGGGGATAAGATGGGATAGGGTAAGATACCAGCACGGTTATAATTCACCGGGACACCCCATAACTGTAGGGTCTTACTTGTAACTCAGGCCATTGGCTCACCCTGCCCACTGTTACAATGGCCACCCCGGGCTCCCGCTCAGCACTGGGGGGGCATTATTCCCCAGTCTCAACAAGTCCTTCCAGATGCACCCCCCAATCCCTCAAATCTGCAGCCGGTCTGATGAATGCCCCAGAGACGTCTAGGTTGAAAAAGTCTCTGCCCATTCCTCCTGCTGGGCTCCTACCAACCGGCAGAGCAAGCCCTGATGCAAGGGAGAGCCGTCCAGTCCCTTACCGGGCAGATTCCTGCCTCTCGCCTCAAAGCAGACATAAGAGTGGGTCCCCTCCCAATGCAGAACAGTTCCCTGCATTGTCCAGCACTTCGCCCGCTTGGGAGTGAAATGCCCCAAGCAAGGGGCCGACGTCCTAAAATATCCCAGTGTCCCAGCGCTTCCCCGGAGATCGTACGGCTCGGCCTGGTCCAGCTCACTGCCAGCAGGTCCCCCCTGAGCACCAGCCTACATCCCTGCAGGTCACCGAACTATCCCCCTTCGTGCCAGCCTAAACAATCCCTCTCCCTCCCTGGGCTTTGTGCAGATGGGTCAGTCAGGAACCCCATGGGTCTAGTCCCTCCTGCCCCCGACAGCCCACACCTCGAGGGAGCGGCTCCCCCTCTTAAAATCAACCCTTCCATCCCAGGGAATTATTTCCATTGTTCCCATACTGCAAGAATTGTCTCAACTGTTGCTGAGCTCCACCAGCAGGGGGAGCAGGGACACCAGGTTTGGGCCTTGTGCAGGGACCCCTGTAGGAGTGGCAGCTGCCAACTCCCCTGGGCAGAGCGGGGCTGGAAACCAGCTCCCCCCCAGAGGAGGGCTAAGGGGAGGAGGGGAAGGGAAGGGAGGAAAAAAAGACAGGAGGGGAGAGAGAGAGAGAGAAGGGAGCCAAGAGGGGAGACAACGACACGGTGGAGAGAGGGGAAATGGAGAGAGAAAAAGCCCAGACCTCATTTGATCAGTCGGATTTTACAGGGCAAGGGGAGGGGTGGGCAGGATTGCTGTGTCCAGACCAGCTGATTTATCCCTCCCCCGCCCCCACCCCTCAAAGAGCCGATGACCCAGAGGAATCTCTCACCGGAGGATGGGGACTGCAGGAAAAGAGAAATATTTTCCGTAGCCCTTCCATGGTAGGGGGAGTCTGGTTGGCCTGGGGGTATGAGGGTCCCTTTGCCCCCCGGGTGGGGAACGGTGTCTGGGACTCATTTCAACCCAGGTCTAGCAAACCCCATTTCTAACCTGCTGTGACTGGTCAGTGTGGACGGGCTCTGCATCACGGTTCTGTGCGCTAGCACAGTTCTGGTAAAGAGCCCAACTGCCCTGCCCCACCATTCAGAGCTTCTAGGATGGATTCTCTGGGGGCTGCCTCTGTTTGGGTCATTCTCATGCCCCAGCCTGGGGATGGAGGGGTATCGCCTATGCCCCTGGGGCGGATCTTTCCAAGACATCCCAGCGCTGTCCCTCTGCGTCTCACTGCAGCCTCGGTTTGTGCTGGGGTCTCAGGCTGGAACGCAGAGTTGGGGAGGTTAAAGATTTTCTTGCTCTGAAAGCAGGAGGTAAGTGCTCGGCTCCCGGTGACCTATGTGCATGCACGCTGGGATTCTGTGCAATTGGGGAATTGCCACCACAGTATGATGCCAGGGCCCAGAGTCCTGCCTCAGGAAGTCACAGCACCAGCCCATTAGCTTAGCAGGTGTTCAGCTGTGGATCCAGGGACAGCTGATGATTTATCCAACCCTTGCTGGTGGTTCCTGGAGAGCTGGCTAATCGCGTGGGAGGAAGGATGGGCTCGTGGTTAAGGCGCTGGGCTGGAACTCAGGAGATCTGAGGTCTGTTCCTAGCACTGAATCAGACCTCTTCTGGGACCTTGGGCAAATCAGTTAACCACTTTGTGCCTCAGTTTCCCCAGAATAAGGGTGTAATAATACTTCCTCACCTGGCGTGGGTGCTCTGAGGATTAGTTCATTAGCATACGTGAGATGCTCAGATTCCAGGGATGAGCACCAGAGACAAGCCAATAAGTAAATGAAGCATGTTCTCTTTATTTCCAGCTGCTAATGGTCCCTCAGTTCCTTTTGCAGGTTGGCAGTTGGTGCAGTTATCCCAAGGACGTGGCAGGAGGGGAGAGGTCTGGGAGCCCATCTCTCTAGTAAGAGGGGCTTTGCGCTGTGAGAATGTTTGAGAGCTCCTGTCCTAGCGCCTGCAGCACGACACTGTTCCCTGGAGCTCTGGCTCCCGCAGGCGAGAGCTCCCGTGGCAACGTCTCTCTGGGAGGAGGGAAATAAATATGGGCAGGAAGGAACCGGGAGGCACAGTGTGACAGGTCTGGTTTTCTGTCCTGGACCTGTGTGCCGGCTGGCAGCTCTACACCTGGAAAGAGAGGGACTCCCCTCACACGTTCCCCTCTCCGGCCGGTGAATCTGCTCTTGCTCCCAGACAGACACACTAACACTGTTATACGTTGCTGAGCTGTCGCGCAATCTAGGGAGGCTGCTAGGGCACTCGCACTGTTTAGAGCTGTGCTTCGGGGTTCCCTGTCTCAGAGCCCATCTCTTACGGGATGTTCGGAGAACCCCGGGGTGCCTTCTGCATGGGCTATCGCAAGGCCTGCTTAAAGAAGGGCCCAGTCAGCGCTGGTGGGGTGAACCCCATGGGTCTAGTCCCTCTGGATATCTAGGCAGATTCTTACTGGCTTGATCCCATTGTATCGGCTGATACGTTCAACCCTTACCTGCAGCACACCCTGTTATTCAAGTCCTGCAGCACTTCAGCCCTGTCTTACTGCTCACGCACCTCAAACCTCACCTGTGACATGGCCTGCTGCTCCAATCCGGGCCGCTCCCAGGCATTGGTAGCCAGCATTGGCAAATTGCCAGCCGGATCCAAGACCAGGATAAATATCCAGTAGGGATCACACTGAGATTCAGCACACTCATTCCACATGTGCTGCAGCCCTGGTCTCCGCCTGATTCCCACCCAATGAGCATTCCCTCACGGGGTCACTGAGGATCTCCAGTCCCTGAGCCACCGGGGTTGTCCTCATTGGAACTCATTGCTTTCCCGAAGTAGGACTCAGCCCACAGACCCCGCACATGGCGGAAACCCTTTTGATTGATAGCCCATCTGCTGGGATCCATCCTCTTCCCACTTGCTGCTCCCCACCCAGCGATTTCCAACTCAGAGCAAGCCCGTGTGCCAGCCCTGCCGGTTGCACCCTCTCTCATTCTGTCTCATTCCAGACAGGGTTAACATCTCCTCTGTCTGTGCCAGGAACACCCAGCTGAGGAGGAGAGAGCCGGAGAGCGAGAAGTGGGATTCTTCCTTTTCTTTTTCGGATTCTCCTTTCCTCCCTCCCCATCGCCGTAGAGACGGTCTCCGGGGCGAGCGAAGGTGTCAGCGTGCGGAGAGGCAGGGGAAGCATAGCAACCGGACTTCAGGATGAAGAAGGTCCAGGAGCACCATCTCCGGGAGGTAGGAAGCAGCAATTTGTAACCGCAGAATGAGATGCCAAGGAAGGAGAGGAGGGGGGAAGCTGTGGGGCTGACCAGCATGGGGGTGCCTTTTTAATGCAAACCAGGCAAGTCAAGGGGACTAATGTACAGCCTCACAATCCTCCCTCTCCTCTCCCCCTGGGATAGGGGGGGTTGTTTCGTGTACTTATTAACAGTCATTCATTGCAAATGGGAAGAGGGGAGTTTTCTGATCCTGGGAGCCAAATCTGGCTCCGTAGCAGATTAAGCAGGTGGGTGGCTGGCATTTCGTAACGAGCTCTTCTCGCTCTCTTTAATTAGCAAGTTCAGTAAACATCGACGCCCGGCGCTGCGCAGCTAATTGGCTGGTCCCGCGTTCGCCCGCCAGCCTCGCTGTCGAGATGCTTTTCCGAGCGAGCAGGTGTTTCCGTCGGGATGATTCATGTTGTGTCTGGGCGGGCGGGGGTGGGCGCTCAGGTGGAACACGCTGTTCCTCGAGGTGTTGTGTGGTTTGCACGCCTGGCATCATACCCACGGTGGCGCAGGTGCAGCGGATGTGGGGCGGGCGCAGGTGCTCTGGGGAGGGAGTAGGGCCTGAGCTATCTTTTGGGAGCCGCGGGTGCTCAACGTTTGTTGGGATCCGTGGACTGGCCAGCGGACAGGAAGCAGTTTGATCCTCCCCAGAACCCCGTCTCTTCTCTCTCTGGTTCCTTTGGCTCCTCCCCCTTCTCTTGGCCCCTCCCCTTGCTTCTACCCTTTGTGGCTTCTCCACTTTGGGCAGAAAAAGTAACGGACCCCTGTAAAACTGCAGCTCTCTGAAGGTTCCCAAGAGCTCCTGCACTCAGGGGGATGGAGCGCTCTGGGGGGAATGACGAGGCCTCTCCCCTGCCTAAGGGAGCTCTAAACTGCTTGGAGGAGTTTCCATCCTGTCCCTTGGGGCTGCTGGCTAGGAAGGGTGTGTGGGGAGGTTCTGTCCGTTGTGAGGTGGCAGGGAATGTATTTAAAAGAAATGTATTGGTGTATCAGGGATAGGAGGGCTCAAGGAGGGTGGGGTGGATGCGGACACATGGCACTGATCCTCTCCCTGGCATGTCCCGACCAGCTCCCCTGCACTTGGCCCCCGTGCCTCAGTTTCCAGCAGCTGGACTTCTTGCTGATAAAGAGACTCCCCTCCCCCCACCCCCTCCCCCGCCAAGGCTAGTTATTGGGACTGGAGTTCCCCTCCCAGACAGGGTCAGGGCCACAAAAGGGCACAAATGTTCCATTTGCCCCAGATGAGAGTCTGGCATCTGAGGTGAAATGTCCCCGCCGGTAGGAAAGGGAAACATACACTCACAGCCCTTTGCCACGTTCCTGTCAGGTTCAGCAGCTCCCTTGCCCGTGCCCTGAAGCCTCACGGACAGCCAGCTGCAGCCTTATCTCCCTGCGGCCCCTTCTCTCTGCCCACGCGAGCTCTCACGCTCTGATTTTAGTGGAAGTTGCTGCGGCCCCTGGACCGTAGAGAGCGTTTCAGCCAGTCTGCAGGTTTCTTTGCCAGTCCCAGGTTGTGCGGGGAACATCTGGAGACTTGAAGGGAAACCTGTGGGATTCTTTAAATGAATCCAAGTAACAAGACACAGAGAATGCTGAGGGGCTCTTTACAGAATAGTTTCAAATAAAGTGGGCATTTTCTTACCCCGTCTCATCTTTCAAATCCCCCCTCAGCTCGCGTGGCCCCTTACCGAGGCACCCCCTTTCTGAGAGACCTTCCAATCCCCCAGAAACCTCCCTTTTCCCCTCAGATCTCCTCTCTTCCCCTGCCTCCCGGGGGGACCAAACAACGGAGCGAATGTGACTGGGGCACTCTCCCACCCATCCCTCCCTTTGCTCCCAGACAGGACAGAGCCCAAATGCCTGGCTACATTGGGTTTCACGCAGGGAGTTTCCTTCACATAAGGTGGGAGTTCAGAGGGCCCTGAGGGGGTCTGTCATCCCCTGGGCGCTGGGCATTCAGCTCCCACTCCGGCCCCTTTGAAACTCAAAGCCTAGGAGCCTACTATTAAACCTCTGCTTTCTGTCTCTCCTCCTGACCCTCTTCCCCTTGATTCTGGGCTCTCTCTCTTTTCTCCACCACTCTGTTTCTTCTCTGGCACGTGTCGTGCTTTTCTGTCTGCACCAAGCCCTTCTCTCTGCCATGGCTCCCTGCTCCCCGATCTCCCGCCAGACCCCCAACGCTCATTTGAAAGAGAAGAGTGCGCTTCATTAAGAAGTGTGGGCTAGGGCTGCTCCTGCTAGCGTAGCACTCGCCGTAGTGCCTGTCTGAGCATATCACAAAACGCGTTACAAGTGTGGGGAACGCCCGCTCTACTTCTCCCTTCTCTCATTTGGGTGCTCACGCCGCCCGACTCCTCCTGCTAGACTGAATCCCAACTTGGTCTTGACCACATATTCTGTAGTTCTTAAAAGCCCAAGCAGCCTGATGGCTGAAACGAAAAAGTGGGACATTTCGAGTACCATGAAAGAAGTTCCTAAGACGCCGGGACAGGTTATGAAAAACCAGGACTGCCCTAGTAAAACCAAGACATATGCTTGCTCTACCAGCCTGGCTGCTTTGGCCCTGTCACTCGCTGCGCTTGTGGAAGGCTTGCTTATTGTTCAATATATAGAATTATTTCTTCAGTGATTTTGTCTCAAATAATGACAGTTCAATCTACTGAAAATTAAATTCCCCCTCTCTGTAAATGAATGAGGTACAAACACTCTCTTGCCACACCCCTCTCTCTATTTACATGTACTACCGTTACTGTTCCATCCCACAGGTGCCATTTACAGCCTTGTAGGTAGGTTCTCTGTCGACCACCGATGGTCTGCAGTGACCTAGCTAAGAACATAAGAACGGCCAGACTGGGTCAAACCAAAGGTCCGTCTTGCCCAGTATCCTGTCCTCTGACAGTGGCCAGTGCCAGATGCTTCAGAGGGAATGAACAGAACAAGACAGTTATCGAGTGACCCATTCCTGGTTGTCCACTCCCAGCTTCTGACAATCAGAGGTTTAGGAATACCCAGAGCACGGTGTTGCGTCCCTGACCATTTCGGCTAATAGCCCTTGATGGACCGATCCTCCGTGAGCTAGTCACACGGTTCAGGCTCCTCTTTATTTCTAGCTGCCAATCCACATTAAAAGACAGCTAGACAGTCATTCAGGTGTTACTGTCCTGTAGCTACCAAAGGGACATTGTAGGATTGGGAATGGGAGGGGAGATGGGGATGCCCTGTAGTGAATGGGAGGGGAGGGGTTTAGGAGATCAGCTCACTATTGAAATGTAGGCCACACCATGAAAAGGTTTGAGAACTCCTGCTCTAATCTGTAATTGAGCCTGGCTTCATAGATTCCCAGTGATCTTCTAGTCTGACCTCCTGCCACAGGTTTTCCCTGGAATAATCCGTGTAGTATATATCCGTTTAGAGAGCTAAAGTAAAATCACCCCTTACCCAGGATTCTCTGCCCATTGTAAGTCTCTGCCTAGTTCACTTTTCCCCTTATGCTGCCCAGCGCAATGTAGGATGTTTTTCTACGTTTCCCCCACCTCCCTCTGATGTTTCAGTGCAGGGTCCAGTTTATGTCGGGCTCTTCCCTCTCACGCTTTGGGTGACAAAGTGACTGCCCGATCCATTACAAGTTCATATCGGCAGGTTTTTCCTACCCCTTCCAAAGTCTCTGTATGAGCCATCACTGCGGCTGATAGAGATCCATTTTAACTTTGATTCAGGGACACATTTAGTTCCTGAAATACCAGCTCAAACGGAAACATATGTCTCCAGGATTGCTTTCCCCATTATTCATGCTGTTTTGCTATAGAATGTTTTGGGCCCCATCCTGGCAAAACTCTCCTGGAACTCAATGGCAGGGGGATAACCGGATCAGGCCTTTTAATCTTTCCACAATCCCTTGTGTTCGGTGTCACCTAGAACCTTTGAACACTTGTTATTATCTCTTAAATCAAGTTTCCTCCAAGGAGCCCAGTACAATTGCTGGGAGGTTTTACACTGTGTTGGCTTTGGGGTCACATCTCGGATAGTTCAAGAGTTTTTCCCTCTGATTTTGATCCAGTTTCCATCCATGAGCTGTGGGTTTAAGTCTTTTCCCAAAATGGTTGGAAGCTGAGGTGGAACAGAAAACAAGACATCTCTCCTGCTCGATGGATTTTATACCTGATTTTCCTTAACAGTGTTTCCATAAAGGTCTGAGTTGGGTTTTGCTGGTGATGGGCCCAAAATTTCCAGCCAGAGCTGGGGATTGGGTTTGCCCCGTTATAGAGTCATGGGATTGGGGTGGGTCCCAGGAAGTTCAGAGAGGGCTGGGATGTGGGGTTCGGTCTAGTCCCGACCCCTCTCTTATGCTCAAGTCTTGTTTTAAAGCCTCCCGGGGGCATTGCTAGTCAGTGTCCATTCGGCTTGTGTTTCACAGCCCACGTGCGAGGCTGCTGCGCTCCATCCAGCACAAGAGCGAATGGAGGCTGCACAAGCTGTGAGGAAGGCTAAGCCGCCGGCGTAGCCCTCTGCACAGAGCAGAAAGAAGTCTAGAGCCCCTCTGCGTGCCTTACTCACAGGTGCCAGGGTAAGAAAGAGGCTGGACCTGGGCAGAGAATGGGCATTTCTGAGGCAAGAGAGTCTTAATCATCAATGCAGCATGTCCACATGGTTCTTAGCTACAGGCGTCTTCGTTAGGGCTTGATTCAGTGCCCATATATCAATGGGAGCCTCGCCATTGATTTCAGTGGCTTTGGGGCAAACCCTCTGGCTTCACTCCTTCTGTGAGGCTGGCGTCATTTGGCAGCAGTGCTCTCTGTGGTGCAGGATCAGGTCCCGCTGCACTCCTTGGCCTCCTCAGGGATCCTTTGGGCCATGCACTCATAGATGCAACATCACACCCCTGCGCTGTGCACCATTGGGCCCTACAACTCATGAAAGGCCCTGTGTGAAGCGGGTCCAACGTTTGAGGAAGCCCAGCTTTCTCCGGTCAGCGCAGATTTAGTGTCACTATTGAATTTCACTAACGGTGCCTAATATAAGTGTTGCCTCTGTTCCAACTAGGTACAATCTGCCCTGGATGGAGCTTCACAGGGATATAGGGACTTGAACCCCTAGGTCCATTTGTCCTCCTTGACCTGGTGGCAGGTTGCTTTGTCCCCTGACACCAGCTCTGCCAGGTGTCTGCATTCTTAGGCTTAGTTTTTTCTTATTGTTTTCTAATGCACTTCTTATTTGCAATAATTTGAGGGAATATCTTTCTCCCGCTCCCTGGCATTTTGTGTATGACAGTAGAGAGTTCATCTCCATCCCAGGTTGGTCGGAGTCACTGCTCACTGGCAGGGCCCAGTTATGCTTTGCTTTCCCCTGGCTTCCACTTCTGCTGTGCAGTCCCTGATTCTGGATTGGGCAAGAGTCAGGCTTGGCTTGGTGGCAGCTGTCACATGAATGCCTTTGGCGACTGGCTTGCAGAGGTGCTAGCGGATCACCTGCATGCCACGGAGGCTTTTGGTGGGAGTTCCAAGATCATTCCTAATGGAAAAGGTCAGCTTGAGGTGACACGCTTGTTTTGCTCCCTTTTCTTGCTTGAAGGCTTCCGTTTCATGGGCTGTTTCTTTTAAAGTTATGTTTGATTGGTCTATGGATTTAACAGGGTCATGCATGGCAGCACTCATTCCCATTTGAGGTTCAGCCCTGTGCGCCAGATTGAGTCCAAAGCTTGTTAAAAACCGACACAGCAGACAGATCCCTTGTCCAGTTACTAGTCCTCACATTTGTGAACGTGCTCTCTGGTGGCAAGGATGTGGCTGGGGATGGGGGGGGGGGTTGGTTCTCAGTGAGGAATCGAGCTTGACCGCTCCTGGCTGACTTTGTTAGTGGTCAAATCTTTCATTAAGGAGGTTACAGAATAATTTGCTGGTGTTACAGCAAACCCAGGTGCCTCTGCGAGTGAAAGTCACCTCTGCTTATGTGTATTGGGGTAATTAGTCCCTGACCATACCTCAGGGAAGCCTGTGAACCGGAGGGCTAAGTTAAACAGCTTCAGAAAGGCTTCCTTGCTGTGTTCAAGCCACTCCTCTGATGTACTAACAGGGCTGCACGATATCCTGAGTTTGAATTTCTGGAGGTTTTCATATAGCCCTTGTATTGTTATAGGGGCCTCCAGCAGAGACTGGTAGGTTTTTAATGGTGTCTTCAATGATCATTGCGTTTTTCTTTTAGTGATACTATTTTGGTCTCAGTCTAGATTCTTCAGGCTGGATTTTTTGTTGAGACTTTGGAAGAGTTCTATCCAAACTGCTGGACGCTGCTGTTTTGTATTAGGTTGCTATTTTTTCCAAGTTTTGCCAGAAGGCAATGTTGTATGTGTGCATAGGGGGAGGCAGGGGTGTGTGTGTGCATAGAATCATAGAATATCAGGGTTGGAAGGGACCTCAGGAGGTCATCTAGTCCAACCCCCTGCTCAAAGCAGGACCAATCCCCAGACAGATTTTTGCCCCAGATCCCTAAATGGCCCCCTCAAGGGTTGAACTCACAACCCTGGGTTTAGCAGGCCAATGCTCAAACCACTGAGCTATCCCTCCCCCTCATGTTGCATGCAAGTGTGGATGTGTGTGCATGATGTGTGCCCGTGTGTAAGTATGTCTGTATGTGTGCATGTATGTACATGTTAGGCAGGTGTGAGGCATATAGGAGTATAACCATCTGGGCAAACCCACCCGTACCAGGCAGGTCTGTGTTTAATGATCAGGTTGGCTACATCACACACGCTTTCTCCATTTGAACGACTCCTGGTCTCCATGGAAACTGAGCAGCAGGAACTTCGCAGCTGTAGCTTAGCCACTGAGCTAGAGGAAAGAGCAGCTGCAAGAGAGGGCGAGAAAAGGAAGAGAGGGCGGCGGGGCAGGCGGGGGGGCTTCATCAGCATTTCACCTGCTGGGAGTGCCGGGCGGGTTTGGCGAGGTCAGGGGCAGGGGCAGCCCTGTGCTTTCCAGCCACCTTTTATTTGCTGGTCTGTTTTTTTTTCTGGGGTGCAGACCAAAAGGGGTTCTAACCTGCAGATGGGTCTTCTGCCATCTCCATCCCTGTGCAGAAAACAGGTGGGTTCTAAACTATAGACCAGGTGCCCCCTGCAGATTCTCCCCAGGTGCCAGCTGTTCATACAGATGTTTCCCAAACCCTTATGGGGGTCTTTCTTGTAAGAGCCTAGTACACATGTTGGAGGGGCTAGAACTGGGAGGTCAAGTGATCCCATTGACCCACGTGTCTTCTATTGGCCAGTGAGTTTGTCTGTGGTCCCATTACACCTGTTGCCTTACTTGACTCCGCTGACTCGTTGCCATCACAGCACTGGTCAGCGCATGAGACACGCTGCAGCTTGGGGGCTTAGCCTATTCAGCATGCAGCTAAGCAGAGGCTGAGAGCCCCTCGTTCGGTCACTGGGCTTTGGTCTGTGGTGCCTGCGGGTGGCAGAGAGCCCTTGCTGGGGGACATACCAGTACAGGGATCTCATGCAATGGTGTGTCAGGGAGGTTGGGTCATTTGGTTGCATGACTTCAGATAAAATAAGGACCAGCTGTAATCTTCTAGCCCAGTGGTTTTCAACCTGTGGTCCACAGACCCCTGGGGGCCTGCAGACTTTGTCTAAGATTGCCAAAGGGGGCGGCACCTCCATTTGAATTTTTTTAAAGGTCTGCCAGTGAAAAAAGGTTGAAAACCACTGTTCTAGCCAATCCGCCAAGTAAGGCTCTGCCTTCTTTTTGGCTACGGAAAGCGTGTCTCACCAGGAAGGGTTGGATGGCTCATTGCAAAGCCAAATATCCAGCCAGACTTTCAGATCAAAGGACTTGAGCTCCGGCTAAACAGCCAGACATCTGGGGGCGTATCCAAATCTAGCTGTGTTTTAAGATTTGCCCCACAATCCTGCTGAGCGGCGGCATAGCTTTGAGATGCTGGGGGGGGGGGGGGAAGGAAAGGGTTAATATCCTGCCATGTGATAGCAGCATGCACTCTGCCGATCCGGGGTCAGATTCTGTGAGCCTGGAAGGGATCTGAGGCACCAGGCACATGGTTATCACTGAAGCACTGTACTTCAAGCCAACAGGAATGCCCAAAGCGTGGGAAATAAATACAGCACTTTTAGCGTGGAGCGTGCCACGCAGCAAAAGGATATAAGCAGGGTCAACCCCAGTTTTCGCCAGCACGGCTCTGTGGGGATGTCACCGTCTGTGGCAATGCAGAGACCGTTCTTCTCATTCTGTCCTCCTATGCTATGCAGGAGGTCAGACTAGATGTTCATCATTGTCCCTTCTGGCTTTATCACCTCTGAATTTTCTGGTTGGGAAAAGCAGGCAGGATAGTGTTGGGAGGTGGGTTCTGGCCACCCAAGGAGAGTCCCCATGGCACTCCTTTGCTCGGCCAGGAGTGGGAAGAAATGCAGAAGGGATAGTATTGAACTGAATTGACAGCCAAGAGTCTCCTGGAGTCACTCGTGTCATCCTGCTCTCTGGGAACTGACCATATGGGGGGCTCTAAGGGGACCCTTCCTCGGGTTTAAAGTCTTGGTGACTCGACAGCATGAATTCTAACCCTGTTTCTCACACTTCTTCCTTTTTCACCTTCTCCCTTTCCACCACAAACCCTTTCTGTCGTTCTTCCCTCATTTCATCCTCTCTCCTGTCTTGACCCGCACGTTCTTCTCCCCTCGTTTATACATTCTCTCTTTCTCCTTCGTCCCTGGCCTACCTCTCTCCGACTCCCTTACCCTCCTCCCCCTTCTTCTCTTTCTCGGTCAGCCCATAATTCCAGACCTGCTGATGACCCCCAGCGACCAAGGAGATGGGGACCTGGAGATGGAGTACCCAGCAGAGAGAGGGAACTGGACCGGGAAGCTGGATTTCCTTCTCTCTTGTATTGGCTACTGTGTGGGGTTGGGGAATGTGTGGCGGTTTCCGTACAGAGCTTACACCAATGGGGGAGGTACATGCTCAATCATCTCCTCTTTAATGGGCTCAGTTGCACCACTTCCATCCCCTTCATGAGAGGGATTCATGTCGGAATAAAGCCTCACTTATGTCCCTTTCTCCCCTCCCCTCTCAGGGTTGGGAATAGGGTGACCAGATGTCCTGATTTTATAGGAACAGTCCCAATTTTTGGGTCTTTGTCTTATATAGGCTCCTATTATCCCCCACCCTCGTCCTGATTTTTCACATTCGCTGTCTGGTCACCCTAGTTGGGAATCTGCAGCTACTTGGAAATTCTTGGCTTTCAGATGGTTTCCCTGCATCTGCCTGGGTCTCTCTTCAGACTGGTCAGGAGAAACAGCCTAGGATTTATCTCAGTGGACTAGTCCACTTCTGTGAGGTGTGGTATCTCAGTACAGGAGTGGTTTACCATGGACTGAGGATGATTGCATTTGATGATGTCCTAGAAGGATATACAGTGCATGCTTGGGAACCCCCACTGTGTGTGTGACAATACAGCACCCCAAGGGGCCTGCTATTTGAAGACCTTAAAATGGGAACATGGATTGGGATTTGATAGTCTTAAACTCTATGAGTCCCTCCTGGTCTTTGGCACCACCTCTGTAGCCACCTCACGTTGCTGTTGGTCCATTCCAGACCTCTGTAGATCCTGGCAAACATTTCCCATGGGTATTCATCTCATTTACGGAACAAATTTGCATCATTTAGGCTTGCCCTTTGTGCAATCAGTCCCTGCAAATGTCTCAGTGAATAGCATGAATACGGGTGAAACCTCAAACATCATGCACTCTTCGCAATGCAATAACTAACCAACAGTGCCAACTGCCAACTTGACTCCTGAAATTCAGGCTTTTGTCTGGTCACATGTGTCATCCATTCCAGGAACAGACACATCATCATATGGCCATCCCGCACAACACCACAAATCTTCACAGTAGAAGATTTGTATTTGCAAACAGCCTGCAGATGAAGAATTATTCCAGAGAGAGATTTGCTAGTAATTTGGAATAGTAAATAAACTGGAGAATTTGACTGTCTGTTTGCAGAGAATTCAAGGGCAGGACATGAACCATTCCTGATGCATTATTTGCCCAGCTCTCATTGCCCCAGATTCCGAAAGCTAAGCAGAATCAGAGCTGGTCCTGGGGCACCACTAATACATTTCCTGGGTGCTGCAGTAAGTGGTTATGATTCAGCAGGCAGCATGCCTCCCGCTGAGTCAGTATCCAGCTAGCCCGATCACATGACGCCGAGGGGTGCCTTGCTGTTGGAGGGGCCATCTTTGCAGAAGAGATGTAAAATGAAGGCCGTGACTGCTCGCTGTAACTTTTCACACTCGTGGGGTGCTAACCCTGGGGTCCTGACCATACTCCAGCAGATAATAATTACATTCTCCCTGCTGAAATTCCCCCAGTCGTTGAATCCTTGACCTAAGAACTGATGCTTACTCTCACTGGAACAGCATTATTCTGCAGAGAGGACTGTATTGCAGTGTTGGGGGGTGAGGGATCCCTACATATACAGGTCCTAGGCAATCCCAACCCCCACCGACTCTTTAACGTGAGTTGTGGGTACTCATCACCTTCCAGACTTGGGCTCTGGGCACTTTTTGGGTTTCAGGAGCTCTATAAAACTGTATTGATCTCCTGTCCCAGCACCAACTCTCCAGTCTCACCCTCCCTGCCTTTTTGTCTCCTACAGGAGCTTTCCTTGTTCCTTACTTCATCATGCTGGCAATATGTGGGATCCCCATCTTCTTCATGGAGCTCTCGCTAGGCCAGTTCTCCAGCCTGGGGCCACTTGCCGTCTGGAAGATAAGCCCGCTCTTTAAAGGTACGTGACCAACCCCAATCCTACCCTCCTCCTTCCTGCCTTCATAGCAGAGGGCTGGCGATGAGACATGTTAGCATCGCCATCCTTTGATCTTTAAGGCAACTGTGAGAACTAAAAGCTAATTAGGGGAAGCTCGTCAGGCTTTTAGGTGGGCTAGCTGGCATCTATCTATCCAGGACCTCCAGCGCTCTGGTCCCACGTTACTTCCAGAAAGAAATGGGACTCTGCGTCAGTTTCATAAATTTTATTACAACTATTGCACAAAAAGAAATATCGAGAAGCCATCCCCACAGCTAAGCTGTTGTTACAAATATTAAACTAACCTAAGAATAAAGCAATGCAGCCATCAAATCAAGGTCAAAGCAACACGTTCGTTTCAATATTAGATTGTGGTTAAATCATCATTTAGTTAAACCATTGGATGAATGCAACAAGTAATCAACCCATATAAATCCTAAGGCCGCATCTAAGGAGCTGACTGTCCATTTCATTATAAAGCCCAACTAACGAGCTTCCCCAAAGTCAATCGAATCTATAACTTGGAGCTCTTTACATATTTTGACACTGAAACCAAATTATTATTTAATGATTAAACCCCAACCTCAGTGTAGGGTGACCAGATATCCCGATTTTATAGGGACAGTCCCGAGTTTTGGGTCTTTTTCTTATATAGGCTCCTATTACCCCCCACCCCCATCCCGATTTTTCACGTTTTCTGTCTGGTCAGTCTACCTCAGTGCCAGAGATCCTTCCTTCCATTTCAATTCTTGCATGGCCGTGCAGCTTGGTCCAGTCAGGTTCGAGTTAGGCCATACTCAGCTAATGTCAATTTAGAGAAAAGTCCTGTTTAAGCCAGCAATTTAAAAAATATTCACTGGTTGCCTACCACAGAGGCTGTCCGCCTGTGACAGCCGCCCTCCACACCTTCAAATATCAGACATAGAGAACATACGATCACTTTTGAGAAGGCTGACAGGGCCTCGTCTGGGTGAAAAGAACTTGCGATGACATTAAGTCACCACTTTATGGAAAGTTTTACCTCAAATCCTATAAAAATAACGGATTGAAAAAACTCTAGGCAACAACTCAATGTCCATCCATCACCAAAAGTAAAAATAAACGTGAACGTCTTATGATCAGATGCCATCATTCTTCATGCAAATAAGACAATCTCTGTATACAGGGACTGGGCCATAAAGCAAACACAGCTCTGAAAGTTTCATCTTGAAAGAGAAAAGTTACTTAAAAACCGCTGAAGATGAAACTCATTTAAGAAATAAAAATAATTAAAGTTTGGATAAGATCCGTACGTGCATATACGCTACTTTTCTCACCCAATGCAAACCCCCAATCCACTGCTAAGCTTTGGAAAGGGAGTTCTGACAAGGGTCTCTCTGGCTGCCCCTTGTCTACAGGACTCTAGAGGGCAGCTTCCCCCTTGCATAGATCTATCCCATTTCTGCTCCAGGGCCTGTGGCTTTCAAAGCGATCTCAGGAAGATGTGGCTGGAGCGGAGTTCTCAGCACTAGTCCTGAACCAGGAAAGCGATGAGCCTGTTAGAAGGTCCTTGATGTTCTCATGCAACATCCCCTCCTATGGTGGGTTATTGTTCCTTCCTGCACAGTCTGTCCTCGCAGCTCAGCTTTGACCTAGCTCACAGCTGTGGTTTAAGATTCATTTTAGATTCCTAACAGCTGGTCTGCTTGTACCAAGGACTGGGCCCCTAGGATGCCAGTGGTAGCATTGGAGTAGCTAAGCAGCTCCTGGGAGAGATGACTGGGCGTTGTCTCTCTGCCGTCACACTGAGCTGTGTTTACATCTCCCCTCCCTTAGGTGTCGGGATGGGCACGATCCTGATTGTCTCTCTGGTGGCCATTTACTATAACATGATCATTGCTTACGTGCTCTTCTACCTCTTCGCGTCCCTGACAAGCAACTTGCCCTGGGAGCACTGCGGCAACTGGTGGAACACCGACCTCTGCTTGGATCACCAGGTCATCAAGGCAGGGAATGCTGCCATCCCATTCAACATCACCAACACCGTCAGCCCGAGCGAGGAGTACTGGAAGTAAGGAGGCTAGCCAGAGACCGGGACAGAGCCGGGCGGGGGTCGGAGTGAGTGAGACTGGTATAGGAACCATGGCAATGGGTCTAAAACACACACGCTATGGCTTGATGGGCACCCACATTCTCCAAGTGCATGATGAGGCATGGGGCTGTTGTCATCAGCACTATTCAGCATAGAATCATAGAAGATCAGGGTTGGAAGGGACCTCAGGAGGTCATCTAGTCCAACCCCCTGCTCAAAGCGGGACCAATCCCCAACTAAATCATCCCAGCCAGGGCTTTGTCAAGCCGGGCCTTAAAAACCTCTAAGGATGGAGATTCCACCACCTCCCTAGGGAACCCATTCCAGTGCTTCACCACTCTCCTACCACCCACCACAGCCTGGACTGCGTCACTGCATTGAGACAGTGGTCGTATATGTTATATGCCAGCTTAGCACCTGGGATCATGGAGCTCTCTCATGGCTGGCTCCACTATCTAACAGTTTGCTATTTACTCACAGATACAGGAAGCTGTTGTTTAGGTGGTAGGGGGGGCATGTGGTTATGGCAAGAGGGGCCTGGGTTTGGTCCGGTCTGTGTGTAATCGGACTTTGTTACATGTGTATTTTTGATTCAGTGGAACCTGTTAGCCACCAATGGCCTGGGTATGTTGCTGGCTGTTCTAACAGGCGGCTGCATGGTCAGATGAGATTAACCACTTGCAGGGACTGAAGTTTCACTAGCCATTACATAGGATGGGTGACCCTGGTTAGTGGATGACCATTAGCGATGGTTCCACTATTTTAAACGCAGTCATTCTCTTTGTGTGTGTGTGCACGCATGTGTGTGTGTGTGCACCTCTCTCTCTCTGTTCTTTGACTCTTTAAGGCTGGAATTTGAATAGCTTTTGTGGCTGTACAAAACCCCTGGATATCATTTTGCAATGTCCCCTTTCCACCCTTTCAGACACAGAGCACTTGGTAGCTAGTGAGGGTCCAAACACTTGGGTGACCATGCCATAGAAAATTCATGCCACCCCAAGTGCCCATTCTGGCAGGGGGCAGGTGTGGGAGAGACGTTCTCAGTTGCGAGGTCAAGAACTTCTGCGCTCTCTGGCCATGTTGGAGTCTCCCATGGTACGAAATGATCATGTGACCCAGCAGTAGGGTTAATTGACATGGGCTTGTGAGAATGGAACATGTAGCCTATGTAGACATAGCTCCATCAATGGCTATTAGCCAGGATGGGCAGGGATAGCGTCCCCAGCCTCTGTTTGCCAGAAGCTGGGAAGCGGCGACAGAACATGGATCACTTCATGATTACCTGTCTTGTTCATTCCCTCTGGGGCACCTGACATTGGCCACTGTCAGAAAACAGGATACTGGGCTAGTGGGACTGACTCAGTATGGCCGTTCTTATGTTCAAAATAGTTCATTTGTGGTGTTTGAGACAATTAAGCTAAAAACCAGCCTTTCCCTGGGGACCTCTCATTTCCTTAACGCGTGGTCAGGAATTCACTCCTCCGGCCCAGGAATCAAACCCTTGGCTCTCATTGTGCAAAGGGATTTTCAGTATCATTTTTATTGGCAGAGTCAAGGCTAGATCCAGGTTCTAAGATGCTGCAGCATAAAGTATGGGATCTCAGACAGGAGCTCTGGTCCCTGGCACATTGCTGAAGGGAGGATGCTGCCTCTTTATTAATGGGTCTCCTTTTGCCCTAGTCGTTATGTTCTGCATATCCAAGGGAGCTCTGGGATCGGGGATCCTGGGAGAATCCGCTGGAATCTGTGCCTCTGTCTACTGCTCTCCTGGGTCATTGTGTACCTCTGTATCCTCAAGGGAGTCAAATCCTCCGGCAAGGTAAGACCAGGAGTCATTCTCCTCCTGCCGTCCTGTCTTTTGCTTCACGAGAATGAACCTGGCGAGGTTAAGTGGTCATTTTCCGTGATCTACAGTATTTGTGTGTGTGGTGGGGGGGGGGAGGGGCTGTGTATCTATATCTTGGAAATATCAATTAGAATAACTAGCTCTCTTGCTAAATATTAATGGCTATCAATAGGCACAATTTGGAGAGGGTGGTAGTTTGCAGATCAAATGCCTGCCCAGTATTCAGGGCTAGAACGTAGTTAATTACACATCTCTGCTTTCGATGAAATTAGCATGGCCGTGCGCCACAGTAAATTGCATGGATACATCACAGTGACCCATCCAACGTTGTGTTGCCCCGATCATAAACCCACACAGCAATGAGGTGCAAGATAAAGCAGACTTTTAGTTGAACAGAGACGCTCCCCAAAGGGAACACCTCTTCTGCAAGTGATTGCGGTGGGCAAAGATCCCCTGTGCGTCAGTGCAGTAAGAGAAGGTCTTGCTGAAGCTTCAACTCAGATCCATCTGCTCTTCCTGCAGGTTGTGTATTTCACTGCCACATTCCCTTACTTCATCCTGATCATGCTGCTTATTCGTGGCGTGACCCTGGAGGGGGCCTGGATAGGAATCAAGTTCTACCTCACACCCCAGTTTGATCACCTGCTGTCTTCCAAGGTGAGAAGGGGACAGGGCACTTTTAATATAAAGTGGGGTTCAGTTACCTGGATCAGGCTGGGATCCAGTCTTTTGGCGGCTGCTTTCAAGTGAGGATGACAAGCAAAGCAGATCTGTGAAGCAGGGAAATCCCCAAATCTGACCTGCGCGTAAAAGAAAAGTTTCCATTGTATAAAGACGTTTAATGCCACAGTAGGGCAATCTGGTTATTAGTGGCTCTAATTAACACTCTTACGAGCTGACTGGCAGGCAAACAAGATGCAAAGTCATTTTCTGCCTAGGAAAGAAAGCCTAGGAAATCATTTCCAGCCTGATCCCAGCAATCAGGATCTCACCACGCAGCATAAAGTAGGGCAAACACAGCAGCAGCATGAATAGCAACTGTTAGGAAGCCCAGACAGCCTGCACTTTAAGAGAAGCCCAAGCATGCACGAACAAAGAGGCCAAATGCAGTTCTTCTCCACCATTTGCTTTTGGGTTGGAGGCCAGTAAAGAAGCCCATGGACTGATTCCCTTCTCCCTCCCTTACGGTGATGGCCCATTGGTGGAGCAGCCTAGGGTAATCAATAAGGACTGAATTCCCTCCTCCATGTGGGTACTTCCAGTTCCGATGGGGTCTCCATTTCAGAGCAGGTGGAGAAGTCCAAGCATGGACTCCAAACACCTTCCTAGGGTGGTTCCACCAGGTCAGGGCTGGAGTCCACTGGAGCATTTGGTAGTTCTCTGTGAAGCAAGCCCATGGGAGCTGCATTCAGTTGACCCCAGGAGACCCGTGTTGGATGGAATCAGTGTTGGTGATGCAGACTTAGAGTGGAGATATGCTCGTTAAAAGGCGTCAGCATGTCCGTCTGGAGCAGAGGAAATCCCGCCCCGGAAAGCGCTGTCTTCTTGAGAATGGAGCTGAGATTTCCACTCCTTTCTTGCTTGTTTCTCCCTCTCAGGTGTGGATAGAGGCAGCTCTGCAGATCTTCTACTCCCTTGGGGTGGGCTTCGGGGGACTGCTCACTTTCGCGTCTTATAACACCTTCCACCAGAATATTTACAGGTGGGTTTCTAGTCTTCACACAGGAAATGGAGGTGAGCCTCAGGGTGACGCTCACAGTGGGGTTCAAATGGAGTCCTTAGAGTTAGGTACAAACTCTCTTCCCAGAACGGAAGCTGCATATCATGGGGCACCACCGGGTAAGCACCAGCTCTCTCTTTAAAGGGAACAGACGGGTCAGGATAAGGTGGATAACAAGAAGGAAGCAGGCAAGAAACAAGCAGGAAGATAGGGATGCATGGAACCTAGTGGCAACCTGTGAGGAGAGACACCCACATCCCCATACACATGAGCAGAGCCAGGCATTGGAGTGCTGCTTTCCCCAGCCTGGTTCTGGCCCCAGGCAGACGCTGAGGAACGGGTAGCCTTGTGGACTGCTGAGAGGGGTGTTTCACCGCCGAGCTGAGCTGAAAACCAGCTGAATTTACTGCCCCCCACCATTGATTTTCCCTGATATTAGTAATAAAAACCCAAAGCAGGCTGGGAAGTTGCCCAGTGTTGTCTCCACACTTTTAGTTTCTCTGTAAGTCCAGCTCCCCACAGGCTCCTGAACGCAGACGTTGGCAAAGAGAATGTCCCCTCTCTAACTGGGGAACACGTCTCAGCTCGGAGCAGACGGCCAACTTGTGCCCCCGAAGTGGGTCTTTCCCCGGTCAGCAGCTGCCTCCTCTCTCTCCTCTGGAAACCATGTGAGCTCTCAGCAGTGCTGTCTCTTCGGGCTCTGATGGGGACACGTTCAGATCAGCTGCTGTCTGTTCTGCAGGGATACATTTATCGTCACCCTGGGCAATGCCATCACCAGCATCCTGGCCGGGTTTGCCATCTTCTCCGTCCTGGGCTACATGTCGCAGGAGCTGGGCATCCCTGTTAACCAAGTGGCAAAAGCAGGTCAGACCGAAAAATAGTAATTCCTTCCTTCTTTTCTTGTTGTGTGAGCGGGTACGTGTGTGTGTGTGTGTGAATACAGGCATGTGTGTGGGGATGTATGTAGGCTGGGGTGTGTATGTAGAGGGGGCGGGTTTATAAGTGCTTTATAAGACTCAGGTGTGATCGTTGAAAGCAATAATCACCATGAGACTTTGCACGGATAAAGAGCCATTCACTGGAGGAGCTCAAAGCACATCACGAAGGGGGGCGGTGTTACCCTCCATTGGTGGGTGGGGGAAATGGGAACATAGTGGGCCACGCAAGCTGGGCCGAGCAGACATTAGAACCCAGGTCTTCCTTCTCCCCATCCACGAGTCCACCCTAAGCGCCCGCTGAGTTGCCATTTCCTGGAGATGGTTTGGGGATCAGAAGCAGCTGCCTTCATTACGTGCCCAAATGGGCACTCCCCGGGGCAAAACGGGGAAGCAGGCGCCTAAGTGTCCAGCCGCGAATTCAGGATTTGGGAGCCTGAAATCAGCATTTAATGGTGGCTGTTTCCCGGTCGTTTTTCTTTCTCCCCCTCCCAGCACAGGCAGAAGGCCCCAGAGCAGTGCCTCTGGTGCAGTCATCAGGCCCTTATCCTTTCCCATGTGCAGGGAGCCATCGCTCCTTCCCTTGCAATGAGTCCGGGCTGCTGCCCAAGTGTCAGACGGTCTGGTAGGACGGTAACAAAGGGATCTAGGTTGATAAACCAGCCGGAGCCAACTCAGGGAGCCCCAGGGAGGAGTCTGGGCTCAGGTGGGACATGCGTCTCCTTGGACACCTGTGAAACCAGAGGAGCCATACACTGAAACAAAACCACAGCAGGTGTCAGAGAACGCAAGGAACGCCCAGAGGCAGAGAAGGGCGGCTTGGTGGTGTGATACCAGCTCCTCATTCTGCCATGCAAGAGAGATGGCTTGGGAGCCCCTGAGACTCTCCTTGCCTAGCGTGGTGGGGACCAGGCACTGCCCAGAGGCCATGGGTGGAGGAGGGGATGGTGTTACTTACAGAGGGGAGGCTCTGACACATGGAAGGATGAAGCAGGACACACAGAGCCTGAGCACGCAGCTGTGGGCATTAGCCTACCTCTCCAAAACCAGGCCAGAGCAAAGGCTGAATAAAGGGACAGAGAAAAGGCTGAATAAAGCCATACTGCTCCGTAAGCCAGCGCGGCCTGTTGTAGCAACGGCAGCTTGATACGAGTGGGTTTGGGGGGAGTGGGGCATTCATCATGCTCAGCTGTCTCGTTCAGGGCCTTGGCGGGTCGATAACGAACTAGGCAGGGCAGAGAGTTGCACTCTAGTGGCTTCTGGAGACTGTGATCCCTCAGCTTCCCTCTCAAAGGGCTAATGTCCGTTTCCGCGCTGGCCCCCTCCCAGTGGTTGGAGGCCTACGTTCTTGCAGTGAGTGGGGAGAACTGAGGTACTGGGGACCTCCTCCATCCGCAGCCCATGCTACTGCAATTCCTCCAGCTGGGAGCTCCCGCCAGCCAGTGCGTCCCTATAGGGCCTCCTACTGGGAGGCTGGTGAAGCCATGAGCAACTTAGCAGCACCCTCTTGTGTAGCCTCCCCTACAGTGCCCCCTCCTGGGGAGACGTTGCCACCACAGCCAGGGCATCCCCCAGGCTGCGGGGAACGTACAGTTGTGTAGAAAACCTGGGCCGTGGGTGATAGGGGGAGACCTCCCAGGCAGGAGGGAGGGGACGAGGTGCCCGCTGTTGGGGGCTCTACTTGCCTGCCATGCACTACGCGACACTCTTGCTGATCAAGAAAAGGCAATCGTTACCTTTTATCTAAAAAAAATAGCATTAAAAAGCCTGGATTCCTGCCCCTTCCCACGGTGCTGGCCCCTGCCTTCTTCTGCTCGCTCCCATGCAGGGGAACACCTCCTGCCTGCTCTTGTAGGACACCTCTCCGTCCTGTCCCAGCGCTGCCATCCCCTGCCTGGGCTGGCACACTCCCTCCGCCTGCCCAGCGGTAACAGCTGTGCCTGATGTGGACAATCCCATTCACTGTCCCATCCTCTGCCTGTCCCCTAGGTCCCGGCTTGGCTTTCGTGGTGTACCCCCAGGCCATGACGATGCTTCCTCTTTCTCCACTCTGGTCTTTCCTTTTCTTCTTCATGCTGCTGACCCTGGGCCTGGACAGCCAGGTAAGGACACAACGTGTCGACCCAAGTACTTTAACCCCCCCCAGCACACAGCCCACTGGCTTAGGGTGGCTTGTTTTCCCTTATGTGCAGTTTGCCTTCATGGAGACCATTGTTACCGCAGTGACCGATGAGTTTCCTTATTACCTGCGGCCCAAGAAGGCTTTTTTCTCGGCCATCATCTGTATCGCCATGTACCTGATGGGGCTCATTCTCACGACAGAGGTAGGCAATCTGTCCCACGGGCCGGCTTGTCAGAGTCGATTTTGGCTGGCGTTTGAGTGCTCATTTAGTTGAGGATTTACATGGGGACGTTTGTCAGATCCATGATCATTTGTGACTATGACTGAGTGGGAGGGGGCTCGGGAAGAGAAATGGATGGAGTGTCCCACCGGATAGGGCCATGGGAGTGGAGAGGCTAGGTGATAGCAGAGCAGAGTGAATCATTCGCAGGAAATAATTTATCCAATCAGCAGAGCCCATGTTTATTAACATTTCGCTGTGAGTGTTCCATACTTGAGATTCAAAATCCAAGCTGCAGTTGGTCTAATATGCGGCATGGCATTATTTCTGTCCCCGATTGGACGAGCATGCAAACAGGGTGGTTACACTGGCATTCGCTTCCCATGAATATTCAGGCCCCTAAAACTCAGCCTCCCAAATGTGACCAGGAAAGGGACTCAAGAGAATTCATCCCGAAAGGCCAGGGAACAGGGGTGGGATCTTGTTGACCAGCTCTGGCGATAATGGCTCCTTCACTGAGGGTCTGGCTGCTTGTGATTCTCTCTCTCCAGGGCGGGATGTACTGGCTAGTCCTGCTGGATGACTACAGTGCTGGGTTTGGACTCATGGTGGTGGTGATTACAACCTGCCTGGTGGTGACACGTATCTATGGTAAGGGGAACTGGCCTCCATGGACTCTCCTGAGCAGGGCAGGTGGTGAAACATCTAGAGGTTCCTGCAAAAGCTTGTGAAGCAACAAGGACATGGAAGCGAGAGCTGGGGAGGAGAAACTCGTTGATTCAGTGGGTGTCTGAACTGGAGCAGGAGGTGTCGTTTCCATCTTGTGCAGATGAACCCCAGGGCAGAGGGCTAGAGGCTCTGCTGCTTCCCAGGTGTCGATGGGGCTGGACGCAAGTTCCAGATCAAGCCAGAGACATTTGTGTCACAATGGTCGCGGATAGCTAAGTTTAACCCCTTCCTTGCTCTCCTAGCAGAGCCGAGAAAGTCATGTGAGACAGAAGGAGACAACCCAGCCGTTGTTCTGCTGTCTCTCTCGGCCCCCGTGGCTGACACAGCCCAATCCCTGAACTCACACCACAGGTGGGGGCCTCTATGGAGCCAGGGGATTCGCCAGGAGACCCCGCAGCTAGAGTTGCTGGCTGATTTCTGATGTCATCTCCTCCTCCTTTCTCTAGGCATGAAGCGGTTCTGCCGGGATATTCACATGATGCTGGGCTTCCAACCAGGGCTGTACTTTAAAGCCTGCTGGATGTTCCTGTCCCCGGCAATGATGATGGTAACTGGTGTGACCCTGCTGACGTTTGCTGAGCTTCCCTTACACTGCCCTGCCCCATTGTCATGGTCTCAGCACCATTTGGATTAGTCCCGCTGGGACAAAATCTTTCCCAAGTCACCTGGCTCCCCCTTTCAGCCAGCAGCATGGAATGGTCCTTGCACCCTCGTATCAGTATGGGCCTCCAACCTGCATTGTCTTGGTGGGGTCTATGTAGCCCCTTCCCATCCCAGCCTGGGGAACCCAGGTTCCTGGGGGCAGCGGGGGAGGGAGTCACTAAGTTCTAGGGCTGGGCTTGGGTGTGAAACCTTCAGAGGATTTTGGATGCCGGCCTGCGATGGTCCTCGGGGTAGCTAGGTCTGGGAGTCACCTTGTTTCCCCCCTGCTGCCAGCATGAGAGAGTCTTGCTTGTGCTTCACTGGGTGTCTGCTCCCTGACATCTCCAGCCTGTTAGCCACCCAGGCGCTCTGCTCTGGGCTGTGCCAGTCCTAGCTTTGCCTTGCAGGTTAACATTAGGTGCGCCCCAGCTCCCGAGCCCCTTTGAAGCGTTTCCCCGTAGCGTTCAGCCCTTTCTTCACTGAACACTCCCAGAAACACCAGGAACAGTGTCCACACCAGCGTGTATGATTCAACTCAGGCCCAGTACCTCGCTTCACACCACTGCACTGAGATACATTGATAGTGAAAACAGCAATGCATTTACTATCAAAGCGCCAAGATTCAAGTGATCGTGAGTCAGGAAACTGGAAACAAAATCATTGCCCGTTTTCTAGAGACTAACCTCAACTATCAGCTTAGCCTCCTGTCTAAGAAATGTTATCTCACCCAAAGCCTTTTGCAACATCTTCAGCCCAGCTAGGCTGCGATCCTGATTTCGTGAATGTAATAGCACTGCCCGTTTACCTCCTAGGGGCAGGATAAAGGGGTGTCTTCTTTGACTTCTACTTACATCCCCAGAGTTTGTTGTCTATCCTCAGAGACAGGATAACCCCCGTGGCTTGTGTTTCCTATGTGCTGCTCTTCTATTGACACCACACCTCTTCAATAATTTTGTATGTAAAGGGGCATCCATTGTGTTAGCTACAATGTTTCATTCACATCCAACAGAGATCAGACCTGCAGACATATCTCCACAACACACCAGTCAAGATCCATGGGTCCCCACATACATCATATGTTGTGATAGGCATATCTCATCCAGCCCATAAATGCCCCAGCAACTACGTAGGGGAAACCAGTCATTGCTATGCACTTGAATGAACTCACACAGGAAAATGATAAAAGACAAAATCACCATATTGCCTGTGGGTGAACACTTTTCACACAGCGATCACTCTCTCTCTGACCTCTCAGTCCTCATCCTCCAAAGAAAACTGCCCAACACTTCCAAAATACGAGCCTGGAAGCTTAAATTCACAACTCTGCTAGACACTACAAGTCATGGGCTGAAGAGAGACACTGGATTTGTGGTTTATTACAGCAATCTGCAACCCACTAGTCCCCTCCTCTTCCCTGATTTTTGTCCTGTAACTGCAGAGGTGTTAATGGGCCACTTCACCTTGAATGGGCCCTTAGAATATGTGCTAACTATTTGTGCTAAACTCTGTTTGACTTAAGCAACAAAGAGTCCTGTGGCACCTTATAGACTAACAGATGTATTGGAGCATGAGCTTTCGTGGGTCTGACGAAGTGGGTATTCACCCACGAGAGCTTATGCTCCAATACATCTGTTAGTCTATAAGGTGCCACAGGACTCTTTGTTGCTTTTTACAGATCCAGACTAACACGGCTACCCCTCTGTTTGACTTGTATTTAGTTGTGACACCCTGAGTACTTTCCCCAGACCTGAAGAAGAGCTCTGTGTAGCTTGAAAGCTTGTCTCTCTCACCAGTAGAAGTTGGTCCAATAAAAGATATTACCTCACCCACCTTGCCTAGCCAACAGAGGGACAGGTGAATAAACACCTCGTCGGGCAAAAAACCTGGTTCTCCACCTCTGCTGTGATACAAACTAAGAACATATTGGCCATGTTGTGTGTACACATAACTCCTTGCATAGCACCTGTACATACAGTTCACAAAGAGATTAGTGACCGGTGTGACCCTGGCTTCCATTTGAGAGACGTTGGTGAACCCAGAATGTGCATCCCAGAATCAGGTCATTCCGGTAACCCCCCTGGCCAGCTGGCACTGAGGGGTTCTTGGGTCACAGCCCCAAGAAGGACTCATCCCTTTGACTCTCTCCCTGTGTTGCAGGCCCTGCTAGTGTACAATATAGTGAAGTACCAGCCCTCAGAGTATGGGAGTTACCGTTTCCCATACTGGGCCGAGGTCCTGGGCATCCTGATGGGGCTGTTCTCCTGCCTGATGATCCCTGCAGGGATGGTGGTCGCGGTGCTCAGAGAAGAAGGGACGCTGTGGGAGGTAAGTGGCAGATGGACGTGGGTGGCAGCCTGTAAAAAGGGAGGGGACTCTACCCCTCCAGGGCGTCTCTTCCCTTGGCTGCATTCCCCAGCTCTCCCCACTGCTAGATACTGTTTTTCTGTGTCATGAAATGTTGGTCTTTGGTTCCAACTGAGTAAAAGACAACCCCCTTCCTGCTCATTTTGGAGTCTTCGTTCTAGCCATAGGTCAAAAGGGGGCCGGCTCCTGGGGCTGTCCCCAGGTGAGGGCTGAGAATTGAGCATCATATCAGAGTGGGCTACCTCACGGCCTGCCCAACCTGCAGCTTTTCACTGCCGCCTGTCTAGGGCAATCCTGCCGCTCTCCAGGCTCACCGCGGCTGGGGCCGGGTCTGTTAGCTCCCCAGCAGCTCTGCATGGTCAGGAGTTGAGGGCCCCAGCATGCCTAGATTGTCTAACCTTTGCAGAATGGATTTAATGCATCTACCTCAGCAAGGGCAAAGGCCTCACCTCAGAAGCACGGGTTCTCATCCCACCCTCCCTGTCCACGAATCCCGGGAATTGGTGTACAGGGCAGCGTATTCCCGTGTATTTACAATGGTGTGTGGCACCCTCTAGTGGTTTGCAGGGGACATCACAAAGTCATGTGTATTTCAGATGCAGAACTGGAATGATAATCCAGAGAAACAGGCCCCGCCTCACTTCTTTGCCAGGCCCTATGGCAACACATCATGATATCACCATTCGTGGCTCACACATGGATGGGGCCTGTGCACAGATTCCGAATGCAGCCCACGTGCAGGGAGGGGACATGGATGCACCGGAGCGTGCCCCTATGTTGCATGTAGGCAGCGTATCTGGGGAGAGCTGTATGTGGGTTCCTGGTGCATGCTGCACAGCAGACAGCAGGCAACAGACCCATATGTGTTTGCACCTCCATAAGGGAAGTGCCAGCAGCTCTCGGCGTGTTTTGTGACATTAATATCGTGGGCTAGGCAATTCAAACAGTGTAAATCAGTGGATTTGCCTAGGGTGACCAGACAGCAAGTGTAAAAAGCGGGACTGGGGTGGGGGATAATAGGTGCCTATATAAGAAAAAGCCTCCAAAATCGGGACATCTGGTCACCCTAGATTTGCCTCAGGAAAGTGAAGTTCTGATGGCAGAAGCTACAGCCAGGTATAAAGAGGTGGTTCAGATTTCCATATACAGCTCTCCCAAGCCTCTCTGTTCCCTGAGTTACAGAATCATAGAAACGTAGGGCTAGAAGGGACCTCAAGAGATCTAGTCCATCCCCCTGGGATGAGCCAGGGCCAAGTAAACCCAGACCATCGTTGACAAGCGTTGGTCCAGCCTGTCCTTAAAAACTTCTGATGGTGGAGATTCCATAACCTCCCTGGGTAACCTGCTCCAGGACTCCACTATCCTCGTAACTAGAAAGTTTTTCCTAATATCTAACCTAAATCTCCCTTGCTGCAAACTAAGCTGGTTACTTATTGTTCTACCCTTGGTGGACATAAAGAACAATTGATCATTGTCCTCTATAGAGCAACCATTTATATATGTGAAGAGTGTTACATGCCTCTTCTCTTAAGATTAAACACCCTCAACTCTTTCAACCTTTCCTCATACATCAGGGTTTTCTAAACATCTTGTTTTTGTTGCTCTCCTCTGGACTCGCTCCAATTTTTCCACATCTTTTTTCAAGCGTGGTACCCAAAACTGGATGCAGTCTTACATAGGACACTGCTGTTAATACAGCCCTGAGGGACATTTGCCTTTTTTGCCACCGCATTATACAGTTGACGTATTCAATTTGTGACCCACCAGAAGCCCAGATCCTTTTCAGCAGCAGTGCTGCCCAGCCAGCTAGTCCCCATGTTGGAGCTGTGCATTTGATTTTTCCTTCCTGAGCGAGGTACTTCGCCCTTGTCTTTATCGTCATATAGTGATGAACAACAGAAGGGGAAGAAACAGAAACAATAAAAAGAAGAACAGGAGGACTTGTGGCACCTTAGAGACTAACAAATTTATTAGAGCATAAGCTTTCGTGGACTACAGCCCACTTCTTCGGATGCATAAGTGGGCTGTAGTCCACGAAA